TAAATGGGTTTACAGGTTGAAAACATATGTGAATGGAAAGATTAGCAGGTACAAGGACCGGCTTGTTGCCAAGGGGTTCCATCAACAACATGGAATTGACTATCACGAGACTTTCAGCCCAGTAATCAAACCTGCTACTATCAGAACCGTGTTATCATTACCCGTCACAAACAAATGGTCTCTACGTCAGTTAGATATCCAGACTGCATTTTTACATGGTGATCTTCAAGAAACCGTTTACATGCGCCAACCTCCTGGTTTTGTTGATCCTAACAGGCCAGATCATGTGTGCTTACCGAACAAGTCGTTATATGGGCTCAAACAAGCTCCTCGTGCCTGATTCACAAAATTGTCTACTGCTCTTCAACAGCTGAGGTTTTGTGGGTCTAAAACTGACCTTTCTCTCTTCATTCTCAACTCTGATGACACACTCGCTTATCTTCTTATATATGTCGATGACATTATCATCACCGGTAACAACCCAGCTGCCGTAACTACCATCATTGATCGTCTCAACTCTCTATTTGCTCTTAAAGATCTGGGCCAACTGCATTATTTCTTGGGCATTGAAGTGGTACACCATGGTTCTGATTTACTTTTGTCTCAACGAAAATATATTCTTAATATTCTTCATCGAGCTGGTCTTGCGGATTGCAAACCTATTTCATCTCCTATGAGTACCTCTCAAGTACTCTTACTCGATGACAGTCCCTTACTTGATGATCCCTCTCGGTTTCGGCAGACAGTCGGGGCCCTCTAGTATGTCACTTTATCTCGTCCAGATATTGCCTTCGCAGCTAACAAGGTGTGTCACTTCATGCATGCTCCAACTGGAAATCATTGGGCTGGTGTCAAATGAATCCTGCGTTATCTAAAGGGCACAATCAACCTCGGTCTATTGTTTCGTTACAACACGGGGTCTCGACTTCAAGCCTTTTCAGACTCTCACTTGGACACTAATCTTAGAGCCTTCTTAGACTCCGACTGGGCAGGCTTCCCTATCGATCGTCGATCTACGGGGGGATATGCTATCTATTTGGGGTTCAAACCTTATTTCATGGTCTGCTCGCAAACAACGAACTGTCTCTCGATCTTCAACCGAGTCTGAATACAAGGCTATTGCTGACACTGTAGCATAATTGATTTGGTTAAAGTCCCTTATTCATGAACTCGGTTTGATTTGCAAGGCACCCACACTTTGGTGTGATAATCTTGGCGCAACTTATCTTTCTGCAAATCCAGTCTTTCATGCCCGCACAAAGCACGTTGAAGTAGATTATCACTTTGTTCGTGAACAAGTTGCTCAAGGAAAATTGAATGTCAAGTTTATCTCCACTGATGACCAGATTGCTGATGTTTTTACAAAGCCCTTTGTCTTCACAAAGATTTGAGTTTCTACGGTCCAAGTTGCAGGTCGTTCCCCGCCCTCAACTTGCGGCCTGCGGGGGAATGTAACTGCTTAAGTTAAATAACCTTATTGTTGAGGATATTAAAGTGTAACTGCTTAGGGTATTAAAGTGTAATTATCTGTTCTATATATAGGGCAAGTATTCTGTCTTTTAAATATACAAAAAATCAATAAATTCAAGGTTTGATTTTCTATTATGCTAAGATTTGGGTATGTTTTTTTAATTTGGGGTTTCAATTTGTTGACAGCTATATGATTTGATCTATTAATATTGTTGTTTTGAGAAATGTGATATAATTATGTTCTATGTAAAACCAAAGTTAAAATAGTCATTTTTATCATTCAGCTTGTTTATTCAACGTAACAACCGAACAACAACTTATCTGTTAATATACAGCCATATATCAATACAAGAATTATATCCATGCAATTATTAATAGAAAACGAACAGACCATCCGTAATTTCCGCTTCACGCAGCTCTGTCCTTCCCGCCTCTCAAATACGCACCCCCGTGTCTTACGCCACCTCCCACCGCAGCTGTCTGGACTAACGTGCGACTGTGCCGCCTCTCACCGGCGGCGACCACTCCCTTTCTTCTTCTCGGCCTTCCCCACTCTCAACAGGTTAGGGTTTTGATTTTCATTTTATGAAACTTTGAAATTATTAACAGAGGCACATTGCTCATTAGATATTTTGTTTTGATTTTCAAATTGGAATCACCTTTATCAATTTATAGTTTATGTGTTTGATTTTGAACTTTGAAATTGTTACGTGAGCTCTTTAGATTTAGATTTTGTGTTTTAATCACTTTTTTTGAATGTCATAATTTTGATTGGCGTAGGTTTCTAAGTTGCTTCAAATTCCAATCATTGTTTTTTCTTTCTTTCTACTGGAATCTTCACATGTAAATTCTGCAGAAGTTGGGATATGAATCTTTATTCCTTTTTGATGTTGTTAAATGATAACAGCAGGTGGTGGGTATAAATGGAGGATATGATCTAATCTTTACTCTTCTAATTACATATTGTCTTCCGTTGCGCATTTGATGTTTTAATACGTCAATGCAATTGCTCTATACTAATTTTAATTAACCTTTAACAGTCATGGTCTCATGGATAAATATTTAATCAACAGAAAAAACCCGGTGATGCATATCTATGCCGGAAAAGATTGATGTTGATAGTTGTAAGCAAAGTTGGGTTGAAGCCAACTTAGGGACTGTTTGACGTAAATGCTGAATGGTTTGGTGCAGAATGATTGTAGTCCGAAGATTTAAGAGACTCTTATGATATAGTGCAAAATAAAATATAATTGTTTGGTAATTGTTCAGGATGAATTACGGCACTGAATGGTTAAGGGAGATCCAAGATACAAAATCATTGAGAGGGCTTTAGACCATTAAGAGGCAGCCTTTTTTTTGCCACACAAGATTCTCCTCTTAGCGATTCAGAGGCTGCCACTTAATGAAAATATTAAGAGGTAAAGAAACAGCCTCTTAGCCAATTTTCCCAAGTTGTGTTGAATTGATGCCCCCCCCCCCTCGTACAAATTCCTGGCTCCCCCTTCTGCTTCTGGGATTACTCTTTGCTAGCGGTATGTCATTTCTCCTATTCTCCTATGAAACTCTGCTGGTATAAATTATAAAAGATTCTATGATTAATTATATGCTTCTTTAACTATTGATGAAACTCTGGTGGTACAAACATGAAGAAATGCTGAGACTGAATTTTGTTTATGTTATGAACACCAAGTGTTTGATTCTTCAATGAAGAATGTGTTTTTATCTATTTTGAAGCAATTTTTTTTTAGGTATATGGGTTTTGATATCTTATATGAAAGGGTATTTTTTGTTATTATGGATCAAAACTTGTTTAGGTAATAGCATTGTTATTTTTTCTAACCACAAGTAAACATGGATCTTTAAATGAAGATGCAAAAACAATAGTTAGTAACCCACATTGATATTTTTTGATTAATGTATGTTTAGTTTGAATGTGATATAAAGACTAATGAAGATCACTACTTCACCATTGAGGGGTGCCATAAGGTTGCATAAAAAGGCCATTGGTCCCACTCCCACGTGTAAGATTCATATATATGCACGGAAACATCTCTGCCCCTAATACTAAAAGTAAAAATCTGCATATATCCTTTTCTTCTTTGTATATCACCTAAACTTCATATACTAGTATATAATATTGTTTGGTTGATTTTAAGATAAAATGCAGAAGTTATTTTTGTTTTTGATATGTTCCAAAAAAAGTTGTCATTTCGAAAGTCTAGCTTGCAATGAAATGTGGTAATGTTATTATACAATCATTACTGTGGTTCTAACACCAACAGTAAAGTGTGTAATCGTTGTCGATGAAATTCTCAAAAACCGTGTGCCTTTTTCGTTGTTGGACATTTATTTTGGGACAAAAAAAGTAGTTTTACCAACAATGACTAGTTTATCAGCTACTTCAGGTAGCATTTTGATAAGCTCCACGAGCTCTTTTTCATCTTTTGTAATTATGATTCTTGTGTTTTACATAAATGACCAAAAACCCTAGTCTCTTACATTATCATCTAGCTTATCAACTAGTTTTTACCATACGTTCCTAGTTTATGACCTTGCTATAACAAAGAATTTGTTACATGGATAAAAGAATCATGGGGATGCCATTTTTGTAAGCTCATTTAGATTGTCCAAAGTCTTGTTTCTAGAACAAATAATAAATTTTGTGGTGATGTGGTGGACTTGATGGATGATTTAATTTGTTAGGTTTTTGTATGATTGAATGACAATGATGAAATGAAGGTTAAAATTGCAGGTGAACATATACATGTAAATGGTATATGCATATTTAGATGAGGTTAAAGTGTCTTTGATCAATAATAATATTACTTCACCATAGGGGGTCCAGAAGTCATTCACAGTTTGGCATCATTACAACAATTCAACATCTTATGATTGCTACAAAGTATCACTAGAAGTTATCAGTTCGTCGAGTTCTAAGAGTAGAGCAGGAGTGCAGGTGCAGGACAGCAGCCACCACCCAGCAGCAGGTGAGGTAAATCCATTCTTTTTTAAGTCTTTTTTGTTTCTCATGTTGATTGCTATCACTGTAGGACTAGTCTTTAAAGAAAGTTAAAATTTTCAAATTTTAAGAACTTTAACACCTAATCGGATGCAATGGCATCTCTACAAGTGCTTCATCATCCCTTTTAAATTTTAGATAGTAAACTGATCAAGATTGTGATTAGAACATTGGTTACAATTTTATCTCAAGTAATTTGAGTTCTAGAAGACTTTTCATCATGTTAAAATTTTAAGGTTTATGTTCACGTCTATTTCAGATTGTTAATTGTTCAAATTGTTTAGGTTTAGGTTGAAATTGTTAATATTGTAGGTTTACATTCACTTGTTCAGATTGTTAATTGTGGCAAATATTGAGATTGTTTAGGTTCAAATTCTTAATATATGTATATATGTTGTCTCTTGTTGTAATCAAAAGCTTTTGGGACTTGGGATTATTTGTTTTCTCGTCCAGTAGACTTATAACTTTGATATAGGTGTAACAGGATCTCTAAAAAGATTGGAACAACCCGGACACCATATCATCAAATAATTTCTTTGGATGAAGTGAAAGCCTTTTGTTTGCAGAATGGATGCTGCAAAGCTAATTCCTCTTATAAGAAATGCCGTTGAATCAAAATCAAACAAACATGCCAAACTCATTCACCAGAAAGTCATCACCTCCGGCCTACAGAACAACATCGCAATATGCAAGAACCTCATTAGCCTCTTCTTTTCTTGCCAATTATTCCAATCTGCAAGCATAGTTTTTCATTCCATTGAATACCCATCAGACATTACTTTATGGAACAGTTTGATTTCAAATTACACAAAGAATTTCATGTTCAATGAAGCTCTTCAAGTCTTTGAAAAGCTTATGCATTTCACTTTTTCCAAACCCGATAGTTACACATACCCAAGTCTCTTGAAAGCTTGTAGTGGATTGAAGTTTGTTAACTTTGGTAGAATGATCCATACTCATCTTGTGAAAAGTGGGTTTATGAGCGATGTTGTTGTTACGAGTTCTTTACTTGGGATGTATGCAAAATGTGGCGTGTTTGGGTTGGCAGTGCAGGTGTTTGATGAAATGCCTGAGAGAGACGTCGCTTGTTGGAATGCTGCGGTTTCTTGTTATCATCAAGATGGGCAGTACGAGAAAGCACTGGATTTGTTTGGGAAGATGAAAGATCATGGGTACGAACCTGATTCTGTCTCGTTCACGACAGCTATATCGGCTTGTGCCAAGCTTATGAATCTTGAAAGAGGTAGAGAGATTCATACCGAAGCAGTGAGAAACGGTTTTGAATCAGATGGTTTTGTTCAAGCTGCTGCCATTGACATGTATGGCAAATGTGGTTGTTTAGAGATGGCCGTACAAGTTTTCGAACAAATCCCTTTCAAGAGTCTGGTTTCTTGGAACTCCATGATTGCAGGATATAGCTTAAAAGGCGATAGCAAATCTTGCATTCAACTTTTATCGAGGATGAACGTGGAAGGAAGAACTAAACCAAATTCCACAACTTTAAGCAGTTCACTAATGGCTTGTTCTAAATCAGCAAACTTGAAGCACGGCAAGTTCATCCACGGGTACATAATAAGAAACAACCTAAAAGCTGATGCCTTCATTTACAGTTCACTGCTAGACCTGTACTTCAAATGTGGACACGCTCAATCAGCTGAATCCATCTTCAAGAAAATGCCTAAAACGAATGTTGTTGAATGGAACTTAATGATTTCTGGATATGTAGCAGTAGGTTTGTATCTTGAAGCTCTTGAGACCTATAATGCCATGAATGCAGCCGGTGTCGCACCTGATGGCATCACGTTCACGAGCATTTTGGCAGCGTGTACGCAACTCGGAGCACTAGAAAAGGGCAAGGATATTCACAGATCTATTGTTTCTGGCGAGTTTGAGTCGAATGAGATAGTCATGGGGGCTCTTCTCGACATGTACACCAAATGTGGTGCCATAGATGAAGCTCAAGATGTTTTTAGTCGATTACCCGAAAGAGATCTTATTTCTTGGACCTCAATGATAACAGCTTATGGTGCACACGGGCAAGCTTCTAAAGCACTGAAACTCTTCCAAGAAATGCAGGGATTGAAGATAAAACCAGATAGAGTCTTGTTTTTAGCAGTAATCTCAACATGTAGCCATGCCGGATTAGTCAACGAAGGGTGTTATTATTTCAATCAAATGGTTCATGATTATGGGATCCAACCGAAAGTCGCAGATTACTCGTGTCTAGTGGATCTTCTTGGTCGTGCGGGAAGATTACATGACGCTTATGATATTCTGAGAAGAACTGTAAGTATCAGAGAAGACGTTGAACTGTTGAGCACGCTGTTTTCTGCGTGCTATTTACATGGTGATTTAGAATTAGGTGAGGAAATTGCGAGTTTGATTATTGATAAGGATCCTGATGATCCGTCTACATATATTGTGATGGCTAACATGTATGCTTCGATCAAGAAATGGGACGAGGCAAGAAAAGTGAGGTTGAAGATGAAAGAGCTCGGATTGAGAAAGAATCCTGGGTGTGCTTGGATTGAAATTGATAAAAAGATCGAAGCGTTCTTCGTGGAGGACAAATCAATCCCGAAAGCAGGTATGGTATACGAGTGTTTATCGATTCTTGGTGGTCATATGAACAAGGATGAACAGTTTCAGACCAAAGACGAAGGATCGTATGAGAATAGGAGTTAAGGTGAGAAGCATAAGAAAGGGTTTGGACCCTTTAACACCCCACGGAAATTGATCTGGTGCATCTCGGTGCATCTCATTAGTGTTAATCTTCAATTAGGATTGATCCAAGAGTAGAGATCTATTCTTACCAAACCCAACTAGTGACTGAAAAGATAAATGTATAGTCAAACCCTGGGGGATAGCTCAATCGGCTATGTTGTTATAGCGGTAAAAATACAAAATTATGGTCAGTGATATAGCGGTCCAAAAATAGTGTTCATATAATATTTCTTAGAATTATATATATAGATATATATATATGCGCGTGTGTATATATATGTATATATGTGCGTACACATACATATGTATATATATAAGGTATATTTCAAATGCAACTATGTCCATTTGTACAACCAATACAACTTAATCAATTGAGATATTTATGGAAATGATGGGAGTTCATWTATTATGATTTAAATATTTATAGAAGATGACTAGAGTTCATTAATTATGATCAATACTTTATGAAAAACAATCAAAAGTGTTATGAAATTACATATTCATCAAATTAAATGGACAGTTAAGATTGAGTTGTACTGGTTGTATAAATGTAAAAGGTTGCATAATAACTTAACCTCTCTCTCTCTGTGTGTGTGTGTGTGTGTGTGTGTGTGTGTGTGTGTATATATATATATATAGAAAAAAGTTCAATCAAGAACCCTTGTGATTTACGAGAATACGAGAATAGTTGTGAGTCTTTAATCTTTTTTATAAATAACTTGAGTTATAATAAATAAAAATAAATCAATAAGGGTAGTAATGTAATTAGGTATTTTTATAGTTTTTATGTTATTTGACTTAATTGTAATTATCCCATGATTTTATATTGGAGTAGAACCTCACATTTTCTCCCATCGTTTTCTGTATCCCAAGATTCAATCTTTGTGATTTCAAATCAATTTCAATTTATTTGTATTGATGATAATACGCAAGTGGGGAACTTTAATTGGTCCAATTATAATCAATATCTTACCCTGATCAATATCACACAATTATCACATGAAAGATTTGTGACATTTATCATTGTTCGATTAATAAATCTTACATATGATAATTGTACGATATCATATTGTGTAATCAGATGTGCTGTTGTTGTCGACTCTGATACTCGTGTGAAATTGGCAATTATGTGATATTCCTATGATAAATATGTGAAATCGACAATTTGTGTAATCGAGTGTTGCATTTGCTCGATTACACTATTATATTATGGAATGTGTTATAATAAATATGTGATTCAACACAAGCCAAATGACATGCAATAATTCAGTCTTAAATCGATAATCATGTGTTAATTCGTGATACAACCTTAATAGATAAAAACAGATGGGTTATCATCGACATACATTGTGAACATGACCTAACTAGACTGTGATAATCATGTGATAAACAAACAATATGACAATTATATACGTTATCTGTTACTCGATTTAGCCCTTTTATTGTTGATAATCGAATAAATTGTGATAGTCCATCACACAGTGTTATCCAAACACATATGATGTCGATTTTTGGAGTTCTGATGGTTGCTCTATTCGATTTCTCGATTATGTCCTAAACTGTGATGAGTCTGTGATAGACATTCAATCATCGAACCTCTAATTGATTAAAAACAACTACTGAACCCTATCAAAGTGTTATAATATGTGATTAAGCTCTGTTGTTGTGATAACCACGTCCAAAACATGTTACTTCCTCAATTCCTTGTTTTCGGTTTAACTAATAGGCCTACTATCACCGTGTTGTTGTAATAACCACGTCGTCGATGATGATAATCACTCCCCAGATGATCGGAATAATCATCATTGTGTTATTTGAAATTTAGTATACCAATTTCCAGTTTTACCCTTCCACGTCTTTGTATTTTTGAATTTTTTAATATTTATTTAAATGTGAGAAATCTTTTAACTTGTCTTTAAATGTGATTTATAACATAATGCTTGGCTTACAGATTGTTCTTGCATTCTTGTAAATCACATAGATTCTCGTTTGAACCCATTCCTATACACACACACACACACACACACACACACACATATATATATATATATAAGGTATATTTCTTTTACAACCTTGTGTATTTGTACAACTCTTGCAACCCAATTAATTGAGATATTTATAGAAATGATGGGAGTTCATTTATTATGATTTGAATATTTATGGAATATGAATATACATACATAAACATATCATTTGCATTAATTAAGAATATAGTTTCAACATCAAACCATCAACTTAAATAAGTTTCACAAAACAAAAAAGGAAAAATGTTCATAAAACGAGCTAATTGCAAGTAATAGGTTCAACATCATTGTGGAGTCGTGGTTGTCTAAAGTAGAAGACGAGATCGTAGTCGTCTAAACTAGCAAAAGATGCGATCGTCGTCTAAAGCAGAAACATAAGCTGAGCAGTGGAGGTCTGGTCCAACTTGGAAAAGGAAAACCTACAACTTTTTTAAATTCCAATTAGGGTTGATATTAGAAAGAAAGTAATTGTTATGTTAATGGATTGAAGTTAAAACATAGTCCATATTTAAAAAGCTCACCTACCCAAAACAAAGACTTGAAATAAAGCCCAAAAAAACCCAAAAAATAGATAACGTTATTGTAGAACGCAACTTGAAACTAATTATTGGTCAAAATTGCGATAAATTACGCCAATAATTAATTTGATCACGGCTATTCTGCTTTAGGGCCGATATCCGAGATTGCACTGCTATTGCAGTGCTATTGCGCTGCATTTCTTCCGACCAAGTGAACCTCGGACGTCATTGCAAGGTAATCTTATTATATATATTTTATAATCCGAGTTTGTAGCATGTTTGTATGTGGAGTTTATTGTTGTTTGATGGTTTCATTTGCAATTTTGTTGTTTGATAAACTGCATAATTAAAGATGCTTGTTATCGTAAGTTCCGTTTGATATTTTAGAAGTACGGACTTCTAGACTTAAACGTGGGATTTTTGAACGTTTATTTTTGCTTTGGCTACAAAAATTATATATTTGATTACTCGTACTTTCTAAAAGACTAAAATATCATTTTGTGTGAGAGAATAGAGAAAAGTCAGTTAATATTGCTTTACATTTGTGAATTTTGAAAGTTGTTAATGAATATGTACTTGAGAACTTGTTATGTTTACAAGTCTTGTACTTAATGTAAATGAGAAATTTGTAGCAACTTTCATATGTACATTCTGTACATTTGGGACCAGTGTGTATATTTATATTTAATGTTAAATGGAATATGTGGTTTTATGTAAATATGGATTTGGGGTGTTACATGTTATTATATCTATCCTTTTGCAACGAGCACAAAAACTTGATCGACCCAGTCAACCCAACACAAAATAACTCAAACCAACACAACCAAATCTACTCGATTTCTAATTGAGTTGTAAAATTTTCAAACCGCTAGAGACTAATGCGGGTTTGGACGTGTGATAAGTTGCTTTAGGGTGCGTTTGGTGCGCATACAGGACAGGACAGGACAGGACATCGTTTGGTAAGACATGACAGGACATGACAGAACTGGTTAAAATGACCAATTTACCCCAAGATTAATTAAAAACTCACATTACCAAAATTCAAACACAAATTGATACAGGGGCAGTGGGTTCATCATCTTCATCCACAATATCAAACACATTTACCAAAATTCAAACACATTACCAAAATTCAAACACAATTTGATGCAGGGGCAGTGGGTTCATTATCTTCATCCACAATATCAAACACATTTACCATAAATCAAGTAGCAAACACAATATCAAACACATTCACCACATATGAATATTCATCATCTTCATCCACAAACAACAAAACCCCCCAAAATTGGATTTCATATGACCATACGACTAAATTTACAACAGTCGAGAAGCAAAGACCCCCAAAATTGAATTTCAGAGCTTAAATCCATCGAACAATAGTCGAGAAGCAACAGTCGAGAACCAAAGACCATACGACTAAATTTACAGTTTCTAAGCAGTCGAGAAGCAACAGTCGAGAAGCAACAATCGATTAGAAATCGAACGACTTACCAGTCGAGAAGCAACAGTCGATTGGATATGGAGAGAAGAGTTCGGTACCGTCGATTGGAACAGTGGAGAAGAGAAGAACGCCGATTGGAACTCGCCGTCGATGGTCGCCGTCGATGGTCACCGTCGATGAAGGAAGCGATGGAGGCGTTGATCGATGAAGCGATGGAGGCGATGGTTAGGTCTTGTGAGAGCCGGGTAGGGGAAAAAGGGTAATGAGGGAAAAAGTTTTGAGTTCCACTTAGTTCTAGGGGGTAATGGTTGAACAAGCGTGTCTCATGCTTGTCCAACTTAGTTCCACTTAGTTCCACATCCAGCCACACCAAACGTAGGACAAATGTATTCTGTCCTGTCCTGTCCCACCTTGTCCAGCGTACCAAACGCACCCTTAGGCTCTATTTCAACGACAAAAATGGAGACCAATGTGTGTTTGGGTACGAGTTTAGTCACACAAAAACTCGCTTTGTCTTATGTTTTAATTTGACTAAATATTTGATTTCAAGTTCTTTTGACCATTAAATATATATTATGATACTCATGGAAGTCCAATGCAATCCATTATTTGGATTTTTCTTCATTTTGGTAACTAATATGAGTTTAATCTTATAAGTTCATAAAAGTTTCTAAGAACTTGTTTGTTTTTTCATTTTCAACTCTTAATTACCATTTATATCTGATTTGTTTAGACGTTTTGTAATTCAGGTTGTTTTTTTTTTTTTTCATAGTCTCTTATCACTTAATAGAGTTTGAATAAATAATAGGTAAACTAATATCTTAATTTCTCTTATTTTCCCCTTTCTTTGGTTMTCTTCAGCTATTGCTTCTTTTTTCACCAGGGACGTCACCGTCTTTTCATCACCCATGTGAAATGCACCGCCACTCTCTCTCTCTCTCTCTCTATATATATATATATATATACTTTCTCTCTCTCTCTCTCTCTATATATATATATATATATAAATATATATATATATATATAATTTATGTAAGTATAGGTTAGTTTATAAGATTAATGTGAAACAAAGAACTTCTATCGGCGATCTATCCTCTATCAAAAGTATCAATCTTTCCGCAAACAAACTCATTGACGGCATTCCCGATAGCATCAAAAGTAAGATATTCAAAAGGTTCTTGTTGTGTTCCATCTGTTAAACAATTGTTTAGATGAAATTCGACAATGAAAATTTTATGAAAATCAAGATAATTTTGCAAAATGTTTGCACCTGATTTTACAAAAACAAACTATTGATTAAGATTTCAGACTTCAGATTTTTATATTGATTCAGATTTCAAACTTCAGCATCACCTCTTATTAATAAAAAAGAAATAAACTTCAGACTTCAACAATTTTTAAAAAACAAACCTCACCTAAATCTTTCTTACATGTGACTTAGAAATTACTCCAATAACCAACAAGTTGGTTTGCACGGTATTTTATCGCCTACAAATTAATCAACAGAATATATTTGGTGTCTTCCATGTCATGTGCGAGTTCGAATCTTATTTATTTATTTTTTTATTATTTCTTTCATGAATTTATGAAATTACAAATTTAAAATAAATATAAATAATAAGGTTGAGGGCACATGAAAGTCAGGATGGCCGAGTGGTCTAAGGCGCCAGACTCAAGTTCTGGTTCTCGTAAGAGAGCGTGGGTTCAAATCCCACTTCTGACAAAAAATTAATTTTTGTTTTCTTTTTTCCCATTTTGTATTTTATTAAAATTCATTTTTCTATAACAACAGGAAAAAAAAAATACATTTTGTTTTATGACGATAAGATGACCAAGAAACATGGTATAATAAGTAAATTTAACTTAAAAGGTTACAGAATGCTATAACGGGTAAATTTTTGAAAACGATACCCTAATAAAAAATATTTTGAAAGTACATTATTGTAATAAAAAAAACTGAAAGTAGAATGCTATAATAAAAAAATTTGTAAAAATAAATTGTTATTTCACACATTTTATCCTATGTTATATTATATAGATGGTATCAAAATAAATTAAAACATAATAAATATTGACTCACATGGAATTCTAAATCTGTTCCTCATAAGCATCAAATCCCACAAAATCGTGAGGAACATGTACACTAAACCAAAATATAATCTCTAACTTCAATTAACAAAAGCTTTATTTACGGCACAATATGAAAAATCTTCTTGTTTCCTGTTTCTTTCATGTTATTAAGATCCGTGTTTCGATGAATTCGCAGTGACAGATAAAAGATGTGTTGTCTTCATGGCGGAGGCTTAATTTTTTTGATTGACCGGAGCACATGTTTGCACGATGGTTTCATGAAAGATAGGTCTAGAAAAATTTCCAAACGGTTCAACAAAATAATTAGCATAATATAAATAAAAGAAAAATTCATCATAAAAATAGCGCATTTTATTAAAAACGACATACAAATAATTTTTCTTTGTAACAAACACATTAGTTTTTCCTTATTTTTCGCTGTTGTTACCACTTTCTTTTTCTTCATTTCAAATGGGTACATATCAATTTAAAATGGTTACATCTTTAATACCGTTAAAGAATTCACTACTACACGATCAACACGATAGAGAAGGTGCACTTCATAAATTCATCTTGGTAATTGCTTACAATGAAATTAGGGCGCTGAATGGTTAAGGGAGACTCATGATACAAAATCATTCAGAAGGTTTTAGAACCATTAAGAGACAGACTTTTTTTTTTGTCAAACAAGATTTACCTTTTAACGATTCAGATGTTACCTCTAAGGGTGCGTTTGGTACATGGGACAGGACAGGACAAGACGGGACAAAACTCACTGTCCCATGTTTGGCGCAGCATGGGACAGAACAATAACTCATTGTCCCACGTTTGGCGCGACATGAGACAGGGATAAGAACTGAGACAAGGTGACACAACATGGGACAAAAAAGATTTTTTCTTTTCCACCAAAATAGGTGGAACATTAAGATGAGACAAAAATGTGACATAAACTAAAATATTACTAATCTACCATAGTTTGATATATAACCTTAATATGGTATTTGTTTTAATGGTTATCACTGCTAGTTTCGGCCGCCGCCACCACTACCGACAGCCACCTCCTCTTCCCCTACAACAACATCCTCCACCGCCTCCATAACCACCGTCCACCAAGTCCATTGCCACCTCTACCATAGTCAACCACCTACCATCACCGTCCATTGCCACCACCACTTCCGCCGTTCGCCACCTTCAACTCCTCACCTACTACAACAACCTCCTCCACGACCACCATCGGCCACCACCATTCATTGCCACCTCATCTCCACCATAACCACCACCACCACTATCTTCACTACATCAACCACAACTACCTCCTCCACCATTGTCAACCGCCACCATTATATAATATTTACTTTATTTGTGTTAATTATAACTATTATATAATATTTATAATCATCAAATAACTTTTGGGGGTAGCTTGTTTAGTTTTGTTCCGTTCAGTCCTAGTCGTACCAAACACCAGACATACTCCTGTTATGTCCAGTCCTGTCCCGTCCAGTCCTAACCTCTTATCCTATTCTGTCATGTTCAGTCTTGTCTAATTATATCTGCGTACCAAACGCTACCTTCATGGAACTATTAAGAGGTAAACAAACAACCTCTCGTTTCCTTACCCAACGACTCTTAAAAGTATTCCACGCATTTAAAGAGGCTTCAATTGCAAGTGATATGTGATAGATGTTGCGATTATGGTCAAATTAAAGATGGTATCTTGCTTCTGTGATTAATTAATTCTGAATTTTATATAAAACTCGTTGACTAATTGCTTGTTTGACCAATTACAAGATTTCTTGATTCATGAAACCCTATCGCATCAAATCCGTAAAGAATCATGTAACACATGGTTCATGCACGCAGTCATCAATCTATAAATAACCAAAACTCCTTCCATTATGTAGAGATATACGTTCAGATGTCAATATCTGCTTCTAACGTACCATCTCTTTCATCTGTAACTAAATATATTGATGAAGATGAACACGAAAAGACAAAAATGGCCCTCATTTTCGACAAATATAACCATCGGCTTGCAACTCTTCCCAAGGAGAGAGGTTGGATAACCGAAAACCTATACATGTACCAAGGCTTTTGGCACCAATCGAAGCGTAGAATGTCATTTGAAACTGTGATGGCCTTGCAAGACACTTTTAATGCTTGTCCAACCGATATCTACTTGGCGACGCTCCCCAAATCTGGCACGACGTGGCTCAAGGCGATCGTTTTCGCTATCGTGAATCGAAATCGGTATAAAAATGACTCTTTTCCAACTCACCCTTTACTCATCTCTAACCCCCATAACTGTTTACCTTTCGTTGAGACCGAAATTTTTAGAAACACGCCTACGTACGTGAATGATCCACATTCGCCACGTCTCTTTGCTACCCATATACCCTATACTTCATTGCCTCGATCCATTCTTGATTCCGGCTGTCGTCTAGTTTATTTGTGTAGAAACCCTAAAGATGTCTTGGTTTCGATGTTTCACTTTGCGAATAAGTTGAGAGACAAATCACGTGGTCCGATGAGATTCGAAGAGGCGTTTGAGTTGTTCAGTAAAGGTGCCATGCCGATCGGACCTTACTGGGATCACGTAAAAAGCTATCATAACGTGAGTCTAAAACACCCCACAAAGATCTTGTTTCTGAAATATGATGACATGAAAGTAGATACCGTGAATCATGTGAAGCGACTGTCGACGTTTTTGGGCTACCCGTTCACGGAGGCGGAAAACGACGATGGTGCGGTGCAGGAAATTGTGAGAATGTGCAGTTTTGAAAATTTAAGGGAGGTTAATAAGCATGGAGATTTACGTGAGGGTATACCTAATGATGCTTTCTTCAGGGAAGGGACAGTTGGAGACTGGACCAACCATCTTACGAGTGAAATGAGCGAGATTCTGGACCAAATTACGAACGAAAAGTTTCATGGTTTGGATATCTTGTTCTAAGGAGGTTTGTAATGGTGGATTCGTCCTACAATTTGCCCATTTTCGCATGAATTTTTCCGGGTTTAGATGATCTTCAAGCACGATATTACTTCGAACCAATTGTACTTCGAACCAATTGTACGTTCGTTTGTTCTAAGCAAACGTGTGGATTTATTTTCATAACTGAAGTATGGTCAGGTCGGGACGGAACGGGTCTGGGATGACATTACCCGCCCCTAATCTGACCCCTTTATTTTTATTATTTTAATCATTATGTATATAGTGTGTGTGTATATATATATATATATATATATATATATATATAGGGTTGGGTTCACGTTAGACCAGCCTGTTTTCGTGAGACCCGTGAGACCACATTTTTACACGTAAACTTCACAGCAAAAACACTGTGAAGGTTTTAAAATGTCACCTTACCTTCACAGCATTTTTGCTGTGAAGTTTCAAGTGTAAAATGTTGGTCTCACGGGTCTCACGAAAACAGGCTGGTCACACATGATCCAAAGTCTATATATATATATATATATATATATATATATATATATGTGTGTGTGTGTGTGTGTGTATGTGTATATTTTTATTATCAAATGACAAATATATTTTGATCTTCAATATTGGTAACTAATATAACGAGGATTCATCATAATTTTAGTTATAAAATATATCGTTTTTTTACTAAACGGGTACCCAACGGGTTCTCCGAACCTGTCGGGGATTAGTTGGGGAGAGGTTGGGGATGGGGGGATTAAACGGGGGTCGGGATCGAGGACGGGGGATGCATTACCAGCCTAATATCCGCACAATGTCCATCCCTATTGGGGATACACATAGGGTCCCGATTACAAGATTATATAACTGTCTGAAATCTACAAAATTTTTGCTAACAATATCTTCATACCAAAAAGGTATAATCTCATAACAAGAAGATCAAAAGCAAATTTCGTAAAATTCATCGACATGCTTCACACATGAAACTGCAATAAAAATCATAGCACACTTTTACTTTACCTTTGAAAAACTGCTGCCCTGAAATGCATATTTTTGAAAAGAAAAATGAGGGTTAGACCATACGGTCTAGTGAGTAAATCGTTGTCAGCATAATCTTTACAATAACAATAGTTTATATAAAACTTCTCAATTCAGTAAATATATAGTTGGCATCCATTCATAATCCAATTGCTCTTAAGCTTAGTTGGCACTCAAGAACAACCTATCAATCACATAGTTGGCACTCAAGCACAACCCGTCAAATCACATAGTTGGCGCTCCAGCACAACCTAATCAGTCGCAAATATAGTTGGCGCTCAAGCACAACTCAATCAGTCGTAGATATAGTTGGGGCTCAAGCATAACCCGTAGGAACAAACCTTAACACAATTAACGGTAGTACTAAACACATACTAGTAAGGTATATCATTTCATCATAAATCTCATTTAATAACATATGCATTTCAGTTCAATAGTTTATGAAAAACTCACCTCGATACGATATACGATGTTATAAATTTTAATACCCCATGAATCGGGGGGTGCTTGTGGGAGGGGTGTGCCACGACGAAACCAAAGGTTTAGGACGGATTGTAGGAAGTGGGCAAGAATACTTCAATTCAAATTCGAACACTTGAATCTGAATCAAGTAAGCATAGATCATAATCAAGAAGATAAATTGAACCTTATCTCTAAACAAATTCTAAGGCACCTAAATGATACCCCGAAAGACCCCAAAACCACTTGAAAAAACATTGAAAAACGGAACTACAGAGCTTTACGCGACTTAGGTTGTGGCAAAATCACGTCAGTGCTGGGTTTGTCTTCTTTGGACCAGCTCCAAATTTTTGATGAAACTACTCATAAAAAACTAATTGTTGTTGTACTAAAACCATCATACAATAACTACAGAGCTCAAACAACTTGTCTAAACAAACTTTCAATTCAAAACCTTTGTAACACTTCATTCATGGAGGTTAAATATTTAGCCACCTTTATGAAACCAAGATAAAACTTAATTCAACTCGAGGGATCTGGAAAGATAAAACTTGTCTAAACAAACTTTTTTGTGGTTCTCATTTCATTACCGTCATACATATACATATATATATATATATATAGGGGTTGGTTCAAATGCTAACCAAGATTATCGTGTTAACTTTGTTAACCGATCTTGACCACTAATTTGAATAATAAACGGTTGTGATTTAATGATATTTAAAAATTAATTATTAAATTATTATTTTCAATTAACATATATGAACAAAATATCAAAGGGTATTTAGATAAAAAGTAATCTATCTTTGATACACGAGTTGTCAGACATATGAACAACTTGTGTATATCTTCAAACCACATCAAACAAAAAAGATTAGACATATGAACAACATGTGAACCGTATGAACATCTTCTGTATATTCAGGAGCCAACTCTGCTGTATGTACATGAACACCTATGAACTAAGGCATCTAGGGCTATGTGTTTCCATACGTGTTCACATGTTTTCACATGTTCTGTGTGTGTGCGTATGTATTCATATGAACATCTAGTGACTTGAATATACATGAACACTTATGAATCACGGCATTTAAAGCTGTGTGATTTCTGATGTGTTCATATGTCAAATGTGAGAACTGTCGATTAAAATAAATGTGAATTATAGAACATGAACACGTGTAAAAACCCCAATGTCAATATTGCATCATGATCAATTGTGATATTTTCAAATTTGTAACTCCCAATTAATTATTTGGGAGTTACATAAAATGACAAATTACTTAAATMCCCTTGTATTTAATATATGAGTTACATTTGAACCAAAAGAAAAAGATGAAATATGATTGGTTGAGTTTGGTTAACATAGTTAACACAAAAAAATTGGTTAGTATTTGAACCAAACTCTCTCTCTCTCTCTCTCTCTCTCTCTCTATATATATATATATATATATACATACATACATATAGTTTCGATTGTCATTTATTGAGCAAATGTTATAATTGTTTTAGTTGGAAATGTCTCATTTATAGCTATTATGATGTTGAAATTGATTGACTTGTATTTTTTTTAAACCACAAGATGACTATTCAATCAATTTCACCCAAAAGTACGATGAGGATGACTCGTCCTATCCCTTAGTTGATACCGATCTGTGGAAGCAGGTGGTTGGGAGACCCAAGAAAGACGACTATTTGAGTTTGGTCGCAACTAAGATCCCAATTAGGTCTTGATCGCAACATCCACATAGGAAAACCCGAGTGGTCCATGTCTTCTGTAGATGGTCAGGTGTACCTCTTTTACATTTGATGTTTATCTATTTCATTTATAGTTCTTATAAGAGATTCTAATGTTTTATTGTACGTATTTATAGGTACTTAACAGGTTACAAACCAATTTTAAGATTTGCTCAGTAGAGTGGAGATCCGGAAGAGGGAAGAGGAGACTCCAAAGAGGAAGCATGATGAAATGCAACTTTGAGAGGAGATTCAAAAGAAGGAGCATTTAGAGATGATGGATATGGTGAAGAGGTTTACCCAATCTCAACAGTTTTCGTCGTCCCACTGCAGTAGGTTTGATATCTTGGTTGTGTGTTTATGAACTTTTATCACTGAACAATCGTACTTTAATTTCATTGAACAATTTGTATTGTATTTATTTCGTCCGAACAATCATATTGGTCATTAATGTATTTTAGCAGTTTTTACAATTTTTAATTTAGCAGTTTTTTGTATTTTTTTTAATTTGTAGGATTTTAATATAATGAAACCAATAAAAACTAATTTTTTTCCTGAAATTGTGAAATTTAATCCACCGATATTTTTTTAAACTCACTGAAAACACATATTAAAGTAATTAAATTACTGACAAATTATTTCTAGCGGATTATCCGTAGATAATTAAATTATTTTAGAAAAATAAAAAACGATTCAATTTATTTTAAAAATTAATTAATTGTTAATTTAATCATAATTGTTAATCTCGTTAATTAAGTCAAAAATATCGGAAAATTCAAAAAAAAATGTGGCGAATTTCCAAGGACCATATCTCCGTAATCTGGTCAATCCGCTAGAAAAGCCGTTGAAAATAGTGTTTTCCAACCGGCAATCCACCGGAAAAATGTCTAGAGTTGGTGATTATGGACCATTTTCAGAATAAAATGAGAATCACAAGAAGGTTTCTAGACTTTTAACAGGTCACACTTTTAAACTTGTCATTAAAGCTCCAAGGACCAAAATTGGAGTTTTCTCTCTCTAATAATGTAACTTTTAAAATCAAACTTACCGAAGTTGATATTATCCCTTAAATACATATATCAATATCTATACTATATTATAAAGCATTTGGCGAAAACTCTTGAAAACTCTTAAAACTCTTAAAAACTCTTAGAACTCTTAAAAACTCTTAAACCAGATTTCATCCCTATCCGATTTCATCTCATATATGAATTTGTATAACTAACTGCAGATAAACACAATCAAATACATGATAAACATCTAATTTTAAATATAAAAAATCTAAAATATAATTAGGATAATCATTGAGTTCTAACAGAATACTTAATTATTATCTTTATAAAATGTTATGTTATTCAACC